CGCTGACAAAACTATCATTGTGCCCTTTACAAACAAGCGAAGGTTAGACAAACTAGTCATGCCAAAGCTTAATGGCAAACAAATCGCATTTTCCACGCAAGTCAAATACTTGGGACTAACATTAGACCAAAAACTGACGTGGAAACCGCATCTAACTGCAGTCCTAAGTAAAGCCAAGATGGCATTGGGAATAAGTGGCCGCATGTTGGGTAAAAATTGGGGGTTAAATCCCAAAAACACACTTTGGACTTACACTGCTATTGTGAGGCCAATTATCACGTATGCATCGGTAGCCTGGTCCAACAAGGCCAAGCAGACGACAGCCATTCAAAAACTAGACAGCCTACAAAGAACAGCCTGTCTAATGACCACAGGAGCCATGTCTACGTGCCCTGGTCAAGCACTAAATGCATTACTCGGGCTGCCACCTTTAGACCTTTTCATACAAAAGAAGGCAAAAGCCAGCATGCATAGAGCTAAAATCCAAGGCAGAACTCATTGGCTCTCACGAAAAATGAGGACCCTACAGGACTCATTACAAGAAATGCCGCTACTTGGTATGACGACTGATGCCATGTTAATTCGGCACTCATTTGTAAAGTATTATACAATTGAATTTCCGTCAAGGGAAGACTGGACTAAAAGCCAGGTAATCCATAAAAACGGATCTCTCATCTGGTTTACAGATGGTTTAAAAATAGAAGCAAAGGTTGGCTGTGGGATATATGGAGAGCGACCGAGGTTTAGCAAAAGCATACACCTCGGACAATTTGCCTCTATTTTCCAAGCAGAAGTCTATGCCATTCTAGAATGTGTAGAAGCTAATTTGTCTAAGCACTACACAAATCAAACTATCTATATAAATTCAGATAGTCAAGCTGCACTACTAGCGCTGGACTCAAACATAGTCTCATCAAAGTTAGTGGAGCAGTGCATGGACCGACTAAACCTCTTAGCAAGAAGTAACAAAGTAGTGCTAAGATGGGTACCGGGTCATGCAGGTGTAATTGGCAACGAGTGTGCCGATAAGCTCGCTAGAGGGGGAGCTCTTGGCATACAGCAGGGCCCTGAGCCCTTCTGTGGGATACCTAAGAGCCTAGTTCAAAGAACCCTAATGATAGCATGTCTTAAGACTGCAAACAAGACCTGGACTGAATCAAATGGAATGAATCACTCCAAGGCATTAATTAGAGCCTACGACAAAAGGTTTAACAATCTTATGCTAGGGCTAAACAGAAAAACCTTACGAATACTGGTAAGGGCCTTTACTGGACACTGCTGCTTAAATAAGCACATGTTCAACCTGGGGCTGAGCGAAACGCGAACCTGCAGAGTTTGCAGGGAGGCAGACGAAACGCCACTGCATCTTCTGTGGGAATGTGGACCGCTCATGCACAAACGTAGTATTCATCTAGGTAAACAATTTCCAAGCCTAGATGAAATAAAAGAGTGTAACCCTAAGAAAATCCTGCAGTTCTTAACATCAGCAGGGTTTAGTGGTTCACTCTAGTACAAAATGGCGGCGATCACAATAGACCAGAAATGGTCGCAGTGATATAAAAAAGCCGCCAAACAGAAATAAAAAAAAAAATACATACAAAATTTGAACCAAATTATTACAGCTGTTTCTGAGATACACGAAATAAATGTATATAATATTATAGTATACAATATATGTATAGTTCATTCAATATTATAAAATAATCTAGACAACATTGGCCTTGATTATATAAAAAATTGTAGACGTTGCCAATATGTAGCACAGATTACTAATATTTGACAGATAAGAGTTTTAAGATTAGGAAAGTTGAACGTTAGAGCTGCCTTGTCAAAATTTATAAAGAAACAAGGCAAAACTTTCCCATCTTATTAAGAAACCTCCTCTTGAACTTTCTTATTAGTGCTTTGCATATTCGATGTTATTTTATTAAAAATTGTTACATAACATGACATACTAATGGTATCTACAAAATTAAATCATATAAAACTCTTTACTTACTCTAACCGCGTCGCCTATGTGTCATCAGGACATAGTCTTTCTATGTTGCAAAATGTCATTAAAATCCGTCAAGCCGTTTCAGCGTACTCAAACCCCTAACCTGTAATCTGTAGCCGTACATTCTAACCCCTATTTCTCTTACGTTTTGTGATTTTTGGCTTCGCACCCAGCTGGATTGCCGGACGCGAATGAGCCCCCCACCACGAACAAGGTGAAGGGGAGGGGGATGGGGTTTTGCATTCTAGCCCGTAGACCATGTCAGATGACTCTCTAAGCATTATAAAATAACATATTTCCATACAAATATATGTTTACTGTAATATGTAACTAAAACAATCATTTTCCAGTTAGAGCAGTGAACCCTTTGACTAGATTGTAAGTTGTTCAACAGATTTATGCACTTTAACTAAGACTTCTCTGTAAGCACTCCCTTGGGTACGTTACAATATTATAACTTTCATAGCAGCACTAATAAAATTGTTCAAATATATATTCGAAATTATCCTATTATTCAGTATTTTATTCAGTGTTTTAAATTAAATTTGAATATTTTGATAAAAGTACCAAATTTCTGTTTCAATAAAATTAATAAGTTGCCAATTAATATGTCATTTTCAGGAAACCTATAAACAAATAAAATTGATTTTTGTAATTAAGGGTATTAAGTAGATTATTCTAAGATTTATTTATTATTTTAAGATTTATTCATAGATAATTCTAGGATTTATATCTATACTATTGTTATAAATGTGAAAGTGTGTTTGTTTGTTTATTTGTTCGTCCTTTTTTCACGTCGAAACGAAATGACATATTCGCGTGATTTTTTGTGTGGAGATAGTTGGAAGGCTGTAAAGTGACATAGCCTACTTTTTACCGTGGGAGATTATCTCATTCCTACGGGAGTTTTCCCGTTATAATACAACCCTAAAAAATATCTGTGATCAGAATTATTTGAAATGCTCTTCAGTACAGTTAAATAAATACGAGGTTTATCATTTTTCGACATTCGGCCCATAAGGGGGAAATTGGGCATGAAAGTTTTTGAAACCTACCGTTTTAGAGTGTTTTTGTAGTTTTAGCATGAGCGAAGCCGCAGCTTCTGCTAGTAATGATAAAATTTATCAATTGACAATGTATGTAGTAAATAGTTGATTATTATTTACTTGGTTAATTTTGTTAAAGAAAATGATTAATAGTTTTTTCCCCTATATAAATAGAAAAGCTTGGCATTGCAATATTTCAATATCTTTTAAAAAATTAAAATATTTTTTGTTTCATTTTATTTGTTACTTAGATTAATACAAAAATTCTAAAATTTATCGTAAAGCCCAAATATTCGAATAAAAGAAAACCTCATATCTATAAACCTTAAGGCAAGATACTTAAACGTAACAATACAAATGAAAAATCCTAATCGCAGAAACAACGTTAGGAAAATTGAAAAAAAAATTACTTCGCGAGCAAGTGATAATTGAAGCGGTTCCTTTTATTAGCTTCATCGGCCATAAATGTCGGGATGAAATATCCATGGCTTTTATTATAGCCATAATGCTGTAAAAAATTCAGAAAACGAGCTTTAACTTAAGTGGGTACTCACGTGGGGACGAGTGAGAAATTATAATTCAATGAGCAATAGAATTTAAAGCCGGTTTTCTCACCTTTACCTTTTTCATTATTTTGAGACATGTTGCATATGAATGAATATACGCTTTGTGATTCTTTATGAACAAAATCGCTAGGTACATGATTTGATTTTTTTAATGATTAAATTTTAGAAAGAAGTAGATAAAACTATTCAGATTTATCTACTCATTCCGTTTAGCTCTATTTTTCAGAATAAATCTGCCGGCTCTTTGAATTTCATTTCTAAAACACATTGTTTAGTTTTTAAATTTGGAGAAGTCTTTTCTTAATGATTAAAATTATGTAGTTAATAAGAAAATAAGCTGTAAAAGGCGGCCTTAGCCGAGTGGTATAGAAATGTATCAACTGTGTCATTTCACATATGGGAAAAGCTTGGTTGGGTCACTTGTATTTTATTAAAACCCACAAACTTTAACAAATTATCTTGAGCTTTGATCTAAGAGAACGAAAATATCTCTTCGTAATTATTTCATAAAGTTAAAAATCCCTAATAAAGTTATATAACGGCCTGTAAGTCGTTTTTTATGAACTTTTTGGGGCTCAGACCTATAATAATGTTTATATAATATCATCTTATTGCAAACGGAAGCGGTATGTCATTTTTATTTACGAGGTGTGGTGAGGAATTGAAATCTACATTGAATCACGGGGGTTCGGTTCCAGATCAGTGCAAATATAGTGTTTGTAATAATATGTTCATTCGATTGTGATGAATCTTTGGTAAGTTGCTATGCACATGCCCGTTAAGGTTCGCCCAAAAAAAAAGCTTTTTTTTCTTTTTAGGCTTCTTATCAATGCATTTCTAAGCCATTTATTGAACTTATTGATATTAGTAATCTTAAGTAGATTTAACTGAATTTTATTAACCGATGAAAATAAAGGAGGAAGTTCTTTTTATTTATTTTTTGTTTGACCACGCGTAACATTCTACAGAGTTCGATTTCGGTGATTCTTTTTTTATTGGATAGGGTTTATCTTAAAGATAGTCCCATTTAAATTTGAAAAATCCACCCCTAAGTCTAGAAAATAGGGGATGATTGATTTTTCACATACTGATTTTTTTTAAATAGTTTGTTCTTATTTTTATACTACTATGTCTACACTAACAATGGAAAAATAAAATCTTCAAAAACAGTCGGTGTGTTTTGATTTGTCTGGCACCGACTTCTAAAATAGGTACCTCTAGTAAATGAATACTACTAAGCTAGTTTTTTTTATCTTTTGGTGTTTTTTTAAGTCGGTTTTATTTCATTTTTAAGTTTTTATTATAATTGGTAGTATTTTAATTTCTTCGTCCAGTTTACACTTATTGATTTTGACGAATAATAAAACACGAATAATATTTAATAAAACTTTAATTGATATGACTTCCGCGTTCCTTCCTATATCGTTTGGCAGCAGCGCACAGTTTTTCTTTAACATCGGGGTAGCCTTGTGATAGATCTTGCCAATCTTTAAACCTTAGAAATACTATATCGACCACCTATAATTATAATCATTGGAATATCATACAATTATATCCTTATTAAGTTTGGATAAAAAAATATTTAAAAAAACCTTTTTATAATTTTATACTATTACGTTTTAACGTTTAGTAGAGTTTCTCAAAGATGAAATATTTTCCCGTAGTCCCCGGGTAACTAGCTATCACTATACCAAATTTCATCAAAAACTGTCCAGTGGTTTTCTCGTGATGCGTTCACAAACAGATAGACAGACAGAAAAAAATTCTAAAAACTATAGATTCGGCCTCTGTAAATAATGACTATTTCAATGAGATTTTCCAAAAAATATTCGATGTACAAATTCGACTTAGTTATAATTTATTATATGTATAGATATCTGGACAAGATTTTCATTATCTGCTTTACGACAATTATACTTAGAAACCGCATGTTGGGTATCGGTACTCATAACTCTTGTTACGATTTGTTATAAACAGATCAAAATAATCACTAAACAATATAATCAAAGATATCATATCTTCCAAACATTCATTCGGGAATGATCAAACCCTAGACTATCTGCAGAGAGAATACGAGTAATATCACAATATCCCAACCTCACTTAACAAAAAATCATTATTAAAACGAAAAATCATACAAAACAAACATTTCAATTAACTCATGCCATTCAAATCTCAAAGCAAGTAATTTGAAAACAGTTACCGTTCTCGACATATACGAGAATTGGAACGGAGTGTTTGGAAAAAGTCCGGGTATCAGGCCGAAATATCCGTTCGTGTTCAATACAGACACCATCTTCTTTTCACCACTGAAAAAGTACTTTGATATACGAAAACTTGTTGTATCAGTGTAAAAAGTTTTTTTTAAGTAAAAGCTGTTTTAGAATATGATAACTTTTAAGGGTTTCATAGCCAAAGGGCATGAATGGAACTTTTATAATTTCATAATATTGGTCTGTCCGTATATCAAAGCCATGGTATTTAGTGTCTTATGTAAACCTCATGTTATGAAAATTCTGTAGTTAAATTACTACACATAAAAAAGAGTAGTATTCCATACATATAAGTAGCTGAGGGATGAAAAAAATTCAGTGCACATAAGCGTTATGGTGGTAGCATATTTCTGGATAGATCTTTAAAATTGAGATTCTAGTTTCTAAGTGATGTTTAATTCAAGTCAATAGCTGCTGAGTTATATGGTTTTAAATAGTTTAAAACATTGCCCCCCAACTCTCGCTCTCCCCCCACAACACCCATACAAGAGTCGATGTTCACTCACGAGTGCAGATTACATTTTGATCTAATTGAATAGAAAACTGGATTAGATTGATTGATCCTATCAGCTTATGGTCACTAATTTTACGGTTATTATAAAAGGTTTGTTATAATATAGACAGAAATATATATAATAATTTGATATTACCATTAAGGTTTCTGTTTCAAACCCAAAATCTTAAAAAAAACCTATTATATGTTATAAAGCCTATATAACCCTACATCATATAAAAACTTTTCGCTTTTCAATTTATGCTTTCCCGTTTGCTTTTGTATTTAATTTGACGATCAAAATTATTGTTTTCAATGTTTCCGCTAAAGGGTAGAGCTAGGTTACACAATATTTTTCTCACCTATAGCTATGTCGTTTTAGAAAAACGCTTATAAATTTTTAACTAGCTAAACTCCTTTAGCCTAGCCTATAATGAACCAATTAAGACAAGTAGTTGCTTATGGACATACATATATATACATTTAAAAAAATATTTTTTTTTTCATATTATGAAGACTTACTTCTTATCTGTATACCATTTTTCAACTTCTCCTTCATGAATAAAGCATATATGAGACATTATATCGCCTTCTCGTACAATGTATTTGCCTGCATATAAAATCGACAAAATTAAGTAAAATTAATTATTTACTAGGTTAAGAAAAAAAAAAGTGTTTATTATTATCCTAACGGCCTGCGTTATTAGGTTTCAGTGCTTCCACACTATTTGTAGCAAAGAACTAATAAATAGTTTCTTGTCCATCACGCGAATTCATTTCCGGGAATAAAATCTTTTATTTTAACATTGAGATTTGAGTATACCACCTGTACAATATGTAGTTACAAGGGACTCATAAGAGAGACCGTCTAGAGAAGTCAGCACTACCCACTAAAACCCAACGGAACCCTTCCCCGTCTTAATGGGGTGTCGCATCACTCACGCACCTTTAACCATAACATGCCAACCAAATGGCATAAAAGCTAAATTGTCACTTTTAACCAAATTATTTACCACACTGTGTCACGCTAACCACTTTTCTTATGTTACCAACAATCCACAATTTTTGTTTTTTCTTCTAAACTCGCAATATAAAACTGATATACTCGTACATATATGTATAAGATTTTTAATGAAACAAGTTATTAATCTTAAAGAGATTAGCAAAGTTTGATGAAAACTAAAATAGCGTTATTGGATTTGTAAAACATTATTTTTTCTTGCCAGAAAGTCGTTTTTTGTTCAAAAAAAGGCGAGACGAGAAACCCTTTCTTATTAAATCAGCCATTTTAATCTACATAAAGAAAGCTCTAAAAAGTTTGGTCCACCTTACAATATGTATTTTATTTATTGGCAACAATTTTATAACATAAATGATAAATTATACCTAATGTAATAAAATATTATAAGATTGTAATTAACTTCACTTCTCAAAGATCATCAAAGAACAGAATTGTTTCTTAATTCGATAAATTTTAATTTAATGTTGCGCGACAGTATTTAAGAGAGAAGATAAAATATTGTTTTAGATTGTATTTAGTCCAATTTTAGTCCAATTTTGTAATACAAAAATATATCGGATTATCGAACTACTATTACAAATGCGAAAGTTTGTCCGTATGTGTTTTTGTAACACTGAAACGGCTGAACAAATGTGAATGAAATTTTATGCTACACAAATAGACCTATGACTTAAAGTAAAACTAAAATTATTGTAAGGAGAATCTAGGAACGCACCCAAATAAAGTAAGGGTAAGTGGCTAGTCTAAACATATAAATAAAATTGAAGTGTATTTTGTACTGTCAAAATAACAGCGTTTTACTAAATGCATATAAAATTAAATAAGGTATTTATAAGAAAAACACAACTTTTTAAATTTTTGTCTGTCTGTCTGTTGGTTCCGGATAATCTCTGAAACACGGCTGGACTAATTTTGACGGGACTTTCACTGGAAAATAGCTGATGTTATAAGGAGTAACATAGGCTACTTATATTTTAGAAAAAGAATTAGGGTTCCGCTCAAAAAAAATTAAAACGTAACTAGGGACGAACCCCAGCGAAGCGAGGGTGAGTCGCTAATGATAAATAAAATTAAATTAAATCACCTGGAAATATGACAACCCTCCGTAGTCTAGCAACCATCTGTCGAATAAAATATTCCGGTAAATCTCTAAACAGAGGCGCTGTATGTAAGTGGTGTAAGTAGAGAGCACTCAAAAGGTCTTCGCGCAGACAATGCGGTGCTTGTTGAGCTAATTCTGGCAGCCAGTTGCCTTAAAAAAGGTGAATCCTTTATATAATATTGACTTTTCAGCTAAAATGGCGTAACTCAACTTTTTAAAAAATTTGAATTAAAAGAAAATCATAAATATTAGGTACATGTGACTTTTAAGTAGGTACCTAATGTTCTATACCTTTTTAATTTCATAAATATTGTCTTATTGGGTTATGCTACTTTTACATTGAAAAGTCCAAAAACCCATAATTATTTTATTAACCTCAAAATTAAACAAAAATATTCACAATTCTCACGATAAAGTATAAAAATAATTAAAAATAAGTATTTCATATTTTTATTCGTACCTCGTTGTCTTTGCCATAATTGTGTGGTGTATTCTCTGACAGATTTCAATAAAATTGGCGATAAGCCACTATGCCTTAGAGACGTCATCAGAATATTTACTTCGTAATCATATGCGTATAGTTCTCGAAATTTAGTATACATAGTGCTTATTGCTATACTAAGTATCCATATTTCCGTCGGATATATGACGTAGTTTATAAACAATTTATAATAAATCTGGTTTAAAGTTAATGCCACCACCTGAATTAAAAAAAAACTGGTATTTCTTTAATAATATGTGTAATGGCCTTTTGAACGATTTCCATCATGGCGTGCAATTTTACTGTGATTAGACATTGTAACAGGAGATATTATAGTGCAGTGTATATGTACATTACACAACGTACATTCTTTATTCCTTCTTTCTTAATCCAAGGCAAAGGCAATTCGACATGGCCAATGAAAAATCAAGTGCAAGATCCTCCAATCAAGTGACTCTACGAGGTAAAGTATAGTAATGTCACTTTCACTACATCCCTTATCCTATCCCTTATCCCTAATCCTGCTATTGATTTTTTTTTGACGGAAAACCCCAAGCTATGCTTGGCCCAACCCAGGAATCGAACTCAAAATTTTCGAATTTAAGCCATATGGCTAATCAATAGATCGATGAGGCTGTTCATAGCATATGAGCAAACCCTGTCTTTTGCAACGGAGTTGTATATCACAGCAACTCTTAGATGTAGGCCACATCATTACAGATAAAAATTATATACTATTACTCTTACTTTACATAAAAGTTCTATAAACTGACAAACACAAAACGTGAAGACAGGTTTAAAGAAAAATGAATAGCCGACGTAGAACTGTAGTACTATTTTAAATTTGGCTGTAATTATAATAATTTTCCATTCCATGTTTATATCTCAAACTGAGGAATAATAGAACTAAACATAAAGGCAAATAACGTTTTAAAATAATAAATATTTTTTTAAAACGTTATAGGAACGACAATTTGTATACTGAGTGAAAAGTAAATAAATGTTAATAAATAAAAATAGCTAACGGAATTTATTATAATTAAGAAAAACATTTAATAAGCTAATATTATTCTATCTCTTTTTTAAGGGGAAGAGAAGTAATGCTTAAAAATACAAAAGAATATAGTATTATTTTTATTATTCATGTTTTATTCTTATTTTTTTTTAAATTAATTTAACTGATACACGTATTAAATATACCTTATTCTTTAAAGAAAGTAAACAATATGTATGGCAAAATCGAATATAGTAGCATAAACAGCAAATCACGCTACTAATTATCACTTTTTCATTTATTTTGGCGGACTTCGTCTATATAATTCTATAGTCCGTGGCTTATATTATATACCATTTTTAAATAGAGGAGGCCAAACATAAAGCAATGTTTTTGTATGAGAAAGTTGCTCAACAATAAAATGATCCTATTCAAAACTATATCTTCATTTTTTGAACTGAATACAAAAGACTGAAACAATATAGACAAAAATAAGCTGACGCTCAAAAAATGTAATATTTTTTAAGACCCAAATCCATACTCAAAATACCATACAAATAACGTATAGTGTAATCTGTACCTAGAAGAAGTGAAAATATATTTTATTTTTTGGAGGTACTGAATTTTGTATTTCGTTTAACAATTAAAATAAACTTAAAACTCATATATATATAACATCAAATTTCATTTTTGTTTGTTTGTTAATTTTGTTTGTTATTCATTCAAGCTGAAACGACTGGACGGATTTGGACGGATGAGTACACAAATAGACTAGATATGAGCTAGAGTAACACATACGGTACTGTAAGGCATCAAATCTCTCTTTTTAATGTTGGAACATGCATTTACCCATACCACCTGCAGGTGGATAGCCACCTGTGTGACTCATAGGCAAAGCTAGTACTACCCACAAAACCCAACTGAATCTCCTTCCTTTTAATCGGGCGTCGCCTCACAACCATGGGGTTGTTCCAACGGTCCACTGTGCTACCAGAGAAGTACCAGGAGCAACCCGCATTATACACCACCCCCCGAAATGGGCCGCCTCCCAATGCGTTTCTGTTTCTTGGATTCGCGTCCGGTCACATTGCCGGTTGCTAATGAGCCAACCAAGGTACCAAGCCCCTGATCAAGGCAAGGGTGAATAGTAATCAAAAAGATAAAGCAAAAATACACTAACTATATCTTCTTCTGTATGCGTGTAAATTATAATAATGTATATCATAGCAACAATATAATCCGCCGTCCATTGCACTGGGACTAGAAAGCCAAATTTATTATTATCATTCTCTAAATAGATTTTAGTCACTTTTGGGCATCCTGCAATAAAAAATCCATATCATCTACAAGTTATGTAAGTCCAAGCTACAAGATCGATAACACGCATTTAGATGCTCTTTCAATTATTATTTAAAATGAGTATAAAAATAAAAATCATCTGGAAAAGGAAATCTTATGAAGAAAATAAAGTTGTAATGAAAAATGTCTACCGCCCCTCCTTTTATCAGGCGACGTCCATTGACTATAATCTATCGAAGCGTTAATTTCTGGTGGAAGAACTGGAACGTGTAATGGAAATTGTGTTCCTAGAAGGATCGTTTATAATAAATTATTATTTATAACAATTGATAAAGTGTTATTTCGAAAATAAGACTAAACGTAAAACCACACAATAATGTTTTAAAATAGTACCTATACAAATCCTATATCTTTAAAGGAGCAATTCTTGTGTGTGTATATATATATATATGATAACTGGTTATTCAGGTCAACATATTATTATAGGATACTTTTTACTGAGGGAAAAAATCTCATCTCTGAGAAATCTATACTAAACGTTAAAACGCTTGTTTATTATAAGTTTTCTGAATAAACCTTACCTCGACACGCCACAAACACCCATCCACAGGTCATACTATGTAATAATAAGAAGACAATAACAAATTTAAGTAAAATAGGCGCAATTGTACTCTGAAATAAGAAATAATAATAATAATAAAAAAAACATTTTTAATTGACTGACGAATAGATTTTTTTTAGATTACATAATCATGACACCGACAAGTATTCGGCCCTTTTTAAAGCCCCACTCCTGGGCACCAGGCCGTAGTTCACCACACTGACTAAGCGAGTGTTGGCGGACTTCACCTGTCTTTCGAGAACTTACTAGGTTCTCTCAGACCTGCAGGGTTCCTCACGATGTTTTCATTGTAAGATTTTCCTCACGATATTTCAAGGTAATTATGTTGAAAACGATTCGCACATGATTATAATATCAGAGGTGTGAGATCCGGGATTTGAACCCGCTTGACTTGGTTACCACTGGGCTACCACTGCCTCACTGGGCTACCATACCTATTTATTAACTCGTAATGTCTAAGTCTCATCTAGTCTATTACCTGAGCAATGAGTACCTACCATCTGTGGATGAATAGATTTCCCATCGATAAATTATCATAACTATCTTCAATGCAATAAAAATATTTAAAACACACAGAAAATTTTCTATAATTAAATATTTATTTGAAATTACCTGAAAACCTTTACAAAATTGTTCATGGAAATCATACAGAAGATAAAGCCTCAAAAGTCTAAATAATCCGTAGTTTCGATAACTAATATGATACGATAAAAGTGGAACAACAAGGAACAACATGTCTACGTAGAACTGCCATTTCTTCAGAAGACGCCATCTTATAGTTTTGTATACGCATTCTCCTCCTTCCACAACCAACTCAGTCTAAAGACGAAAAAAATAATATACTAGATATATTAGCTGTACGCAGTTTTTAAATAAAGAAAGGTATTAATAGTGTACAAAATGTGCTACTAAATATTTAAAAAAAATTGTGAAACGAATACATTTTTTTATATATATAAGGAGATAGAGAAAGCGAGAAAGAGAATGTAAATGAAAAAATATTCACAAGTTAGGAAATGCTATATAAATAAAGCTATTTGCTTATTTGAATGTACATAATATACATACATAAATTTACTATGTATATTTACACTAAGTAATACTATGTATTAAAAACTATAGTTTATCAAAATATCAAACCAAAAAATACAACGTAAAATCAATCATACCGTGAAAAATTCTGAGATAATATATGAAAGGTACATCAGATCCAAGAATATAAAATTAAATGTGAAGAATCGTGATTTATAGTCACTCGGAAGTGTTATCAATATCAATACTAGAACAGCAGAAATGACTGGAAAGGCCATCAGCGATAAATATGACCAGTTGTAGTACCACGTACCGGATTGACACTTCATTTTATCTTTCATCCACTGTTATGGGTACATTAATTACTATTAAAATATCTTAATATTAAAAAAAAACTCAATCTATATTCTATATCAATATATGGTACTATTTTTTTTTATTTCATTGTTTTTTTTTCTTTAAACGTATTGAATGTCGAAGCACAATCGTTTGGACAAATAGAAAGAGAGAGAGTGAGAAAATCATCGTCTCAGTGCTTATTTGTACAAACGACCAATTTACCGAAAGAGTTTTCAATACAGAATTATTGACTTTTAAATGTCAATTCTATTGGTATTAAATACACATACATTACAACAAAGCGAAAAATAAAAAAAAAGTAAATAAATCTTAGAATTATTTCTAAGATTTTATTATTATTATTATATTTATATATATATATATATATATTTATTATTCTTTATAGCATTGTTTTTAAAACAAACGGAAATCTCTATTCTGTAAAGCACAACAAGTAATGACCGTTTGAACAAATAAGCATTTTGGTTCTATTACTACCCTTCCTACTCTCATATTTAAATTAATTTTTTAACTTAATTACACAAACTGTCTTCAAATATGCAATGATAATTTAAGAAAATATATAAAAAAATCTAAAACGTACAGGTAACTTTAAAGCTTTCATCCCTCGAAGCAAATATTTCACTGTGTTATATGGATTTTCGAATATCATTTTTCTCACGAGCATATAATCGTATTTAGATTGAGAGTTCTTAGCAATATTTTCCCTACCCTGAAAATCAGGGCCAGTCACCAGTACTTTAGAACTTTTGAAGGAGTCGTATTAAACTCATTTTGAAGTATTATATTTTCTTCATACTTTATAACTGAGTATAGATTTCTGTCCATATTTTATTAAAATAAGTATAAAGCCATCATTGTCTAATAACACCAACATAGCGGGTTCGACACTCGCTTGTGGTAAGACATAGTTGTTAGAAGTAAAATAATAGTTAATCAAATTTACTATTATTACTAGCGAGGTACACGAAGTTAAATGACAAAAAGTATAAAAAATATCACTTTTTTCCCAACCTACATGTCACTGTCACCAAATTCTACTAGTCGCCAATGAGAGTCCCATTGAATCGGTTCCAGAGATTGATGAGTTGAAACAAAGAGACAGAAAGATAAAAATAAATTTTATAGTTGTATTTCGGTACCATACAAATAACTTATAAAATATGATAGACATACGAAAACACTTATAAGTAGAATGCACTTTTTGAACTTTTCCATTAAATGCTACTTCGTGAAGTTATTATTGACTGCATTGCCTGCGGCTCCGCCCGCGTTCAGATGACCAAAAACCAAATTCTTAGGTTTTACATATTAGTATACTCTTACATTGCAGTTTTTGTATTTTTTCTCAGAAATGAGATATTTCCCAGCGCTAAAAAGTATCCTATATGTTGACCCGGATAACCAGCTATCATCATGCCAAATTACATCAAAATAGCTCCAGTGGTTTTTCTGTGACGCGGTAGCAGACAGACAGACAGACAAAAAATCTAAAAACTATAGATTCGGCCTCTGTATCGATAATAATGACTATTTCAATAAGATTTTCCAAAAAATATTTAATGTACAGATTCGGCTTAGTTGCAATTTTATTATATGTATAGATGTAGATTAAGATAACATAAAGCGACTTATATAGAATTATAGTTTTTTACCTTATCTCCAACTATTTCTTGAAATTCGCTAAACGGTATTTGCAATAAATCAGCGTGATCGATTGACTCTGCTGATATCCGAACTGGTCTTGGTGAAGTTCCGTCTAGTTGTCCAAATAAAGAACCCTACAATAAGAGATATAAAGCTAACATAATAAATAGTGTTGTTGTGGATAGTTGTATATGTATTTCACGTGATACTCGTATATGTACATCATCTCATGTCCCTTAGAAATACAAATAAATATAATAAATTAATATGTTGGACACACAGTACCATCTAGTTCCATGGTAAGCTACGAGGCTTGTGTTATGGATACCAGATAGTTGATACACTACACATATATAACTTTAAATATAAACACCCATGACTGGAATACAAACATTCGTGTTCATCACACAAATGTTTGCCCCCAGCAGGACCCGAATCCGCGACCGCTGGCACAGTAAGTACGGTTACTACAATGAGCCAAACTTCTGTCCTGAGCCAAATGTCTAAAATGAACGAATTTCGGAACCTCACTTTTATTTTGTTGTACCGCTTTACGTAAAATGTCCCATATATAACATGTTATAATGTATGACAAGGTAGTGGTAGCCCAGTGGTAACGCGCTCGCTTGGGAAACCGAGTGAAGCGGGTTCAAATCCCGGGTCTCGCACCTCTTATATTTTCATGTGCGAATCATTTCTATTTTCTAACATGATTACCACTTGTCTTACGGTGAAGGAAAAGATCGTGATTGTGTCGAATCTAGTGGAATTTAGTGGACTCTACCGGTTTTACCACTTCCCCATTTCATATTATCAACAAGTTTAACATTAACTTTTGAGAATTTTATTAATTTTGTCTTTTTATTATTTAATAATAAATTATTTGAATCAATAAATATTCAGGTTATCTCAATGTATGTAGCCAAATATTCGTGAATACTTAGGCACTTCGGGCGAAGAAGCAAGCATAGTAAAAAGTACAACAAAACATCTAACCTTAGTTAAAATGGCCAAGTCTTGCCCTCCTTGTTTTACAACAATCTTGCCCCGATGCACAATATAAACCCACGGGGTCAAATTCATTTCCCTAACGATTATCTCTCCTGGAAGGAAGTAAAGCTGGGTGGCAGCGCTAGCCAGATCTCTTTCTACACTTTCACCGCCGCTTAGTAACGTATCTGACGCTTCAACTGTCCTAAAATATAAAAATTAGAGGAAAAAGAAAAAAAATTTTATCTTATGTATAAAAATACATATATAAAAACTCACTTTTTAAAAAAATAGTAACTTAAGTCTTGTCTAAATATAACACCGATTCGTTCGTTCATGAGACTTTGTATATTAATACCTTTGGTCCTGAAAACGTCATTTTTTGAAGATAAATTGATCATAACATAGTGAAACGTAGTGTTTCATAAAAATTATTTAAAATATTTTTCAATGATAAACTATAACATGAATTTAAAATTCATATTTATATTCTAACAATAGTATGAACTGTTACTAGTATTAGAATAAACTAAATGTATTATTTAGAGTCAAATGAAATACTTATTCCTGCCAAATTTGTAGAGCTGACAGTACCAAAAACTGTTTTACTATGAATTATGATTCTTAAAATAAAGAAAAAATCTCTTTAATTTCTATATGTGGAGATAGAAAATTTGTAAGGTATAAAAGGATGATTTTTAAAAGCCTATCACTTTTGGAGTGAATTAAAGTAATGCTGATAGTTAATGGTGTAATGTAAATTCTTGTTATATAAAGTGATTATGCTATACTTATAAGTGATGAGTGATGTGAAAGTGAAATAAATATGGTATTCATTTAATTAATTTTGATTATAGAATAATTCTTACAATATTATTAATATAAATGACATAAGTTTTGCTAAGATAATACCTCAACCACCAATATCTAAAATGAGCAACGGCTCGCTTTATAAGCGTGTCTTCGATTCTCTCGGCTTTCAAGAATCTCCTTAATTGATGCACACCGTGCTGAAATAGCGTGTTTCCGCGATAGTTCAACACTAATAATGTTAATGAATAGCACATCACGTACCTATGAGAAACAATATTTGGCATTTTATATTCAAATTTTCTTGGTATAGTTTAATTAACTAACGTAATGTTAATAATGTAGTAAAAACTTCGAGGCGTTTTTCTTTTTCAGGTAAGTATATATATTATTTCCAAAACTCTTTTTATTCAATAAAATTCTATATTAAACTATGTTTGAATTACTGTTCAGTCTTAAAATATTGTGTGTCTAAAAAGTATCACTTAACAAACAATTGTAATAGATACCACATCGAAAAATGACAATTGACAAGTAATATATATATGTATTATTTTGAAGACTCAAATATAATATCTTTGTTTTGCGAATTTAAATAAAACATGCTATTGAATATCACATATTCACAAATCTTTGGCATAACTATGACCCTAAATGGCCACTCGCATTTAGGTGTAACATTTAGGAATCTCTCGAAAGGGACGAATTCTTTCGACTTTATTAACAAATGATGGTACATATCGGTAGTTTATTTTGCAATTACATATATCGTATATGTGAAATCCAAACTTCCTTACTATTATTATACATATAACTTTATTGAAGGGCATTAATACCAAGTTTCAAATAATTCTGATCATATTTATTTTTTTGGATTATATTATAACGTGTTTGCCCGTGGGAATTAGATAATCTCCTGTGGTAAAAAGTAGCCTATGTCACTCTCCAGTTCTGCAACAGTCTCCACACAAAAAATCACACCAATGCGACACTCCTTTTCGACGTGAAAGAAGGACAACAAACAAACAAACAAACAAACAAACAAACAAACAAACAAACAAACAAACAAACACACTTTCACATTTATAATATTAGTATGGATATGTAGAACTAACAATATCTGAATTAATACGAAAGTATCTCAGGCCTGAATGTTAAATAAACCTGCAAACTACAACTAACAGATGATTTAACTGCGTATAATCACCAACTATCTGTAATAATTAGAGGCTAAATAATATGCATTTCCATATTTTGTCTGAAATCTTAATGATGATGCAAATTTTCGAAATATCACAATATACATAAAATAGTAAAATAATGAAATTTTACGTTTTAATCGATAGCTGCACTGAGAAAATAATTATTGTATGTATATACTTCCTAATACGAGGAGGATCAGGCTGATAGTCCACCACGCTGGCCAAGTGTGGGTTGGTGGTGAATTATTGCTTATATTCAAGTACAACTCCATTCAAGGAATTTTTAAAAGTTGGAATTAATCCACAAATTTCTAGCTGTACATTTTTACTTATTTTTAAAGAACACAACTAAAAATAACTCAAATAAGTACATTCTCTAGTAATAACAAAGAAATATTCACTCCATTTGCCCATACGCATTCCAAAGTGTTGTAATAGCGAGTATTGTGAAAAGTAATTTATGTCTTTCGAAATTTACTGTTCAGTACACTGTCTCACCAAAACATAAATCCGAGTACTAGAAGCATAAATCCAACGCCGAGATGTTTTCGATTTATTTGAAACTTGCCCAGGTTAAATCTCATAAAACCGCTTTGGGCTAGATTAAGACTTTCCGCGTAAACCTAAAAGATAACATAGCTATATAAAAAAAGTTTTAAATATCGCTTAAGAAAAAATGAAACTTTGGGGTGTTTTAAAAGGATGTTAGGTTTTGCAGTAATAAAGTATATTATGAAATTTTCCTCTTTCTTTTTGTTTTTTTTTCTCTTGGGTATTTTTTAACAAGTCAACTTTATAATTTTAAAATATACTTAAAAAATATTATACGTTAAAATGTGAATACTGGGTGCCGTAGCTTTCCTATTATTGGAAAAACAATTAGTCACAAAATAATTTTAAATCAGGCTTTTTCTTCTCTAAAAAAATAGTTTTCATAAAAATATTATTTTTTATGTTTTTTTTTTTAATAAATTTAATAGCTTACCATATGTAACTGATGTATAGTGGGTTTCTTATCCAATGGAAGGTAGTTTGGTAACCAGCAATAGTTTTGGCGAGACATGCCCATTAGTTCCCCTCCGTCCCCCCATTCAAACCAGATACATTTGCTGACAAAGAAGTGGCTCGAGCCCAGCGACACAAGCAATGTTACTACTTGCCATTTTAATATCTATAACAGTAGTAAATATATATCAATTAAAGGACCGAAACCGTGACTGACTGACTAATCTATCAATGCGTAGCTCAAACCGCTGAACGGATTGGGTTCAAATTTGGCACACAGAAACTAAAACTTATCTAAAATCAACTTATTAAACAAAATCAAACATGCCGCGAGCAAAAGCTTTAAGAATTAAACTTTTTTAAGAATTAAACTTAAAGGTAAGTACTTTTGATCATAAAATATAAAAAGATTCGGGTCGGTCTACTAGAACTTTAAAAATATATGAAACAATGGAGATTCACATATTTACTTAATTATCTAGTCTAGTATGGTATGGTATGTTCGGGCTGTTTTCCGCAACTCGACGACTATGCGCCTATTTTGCGTGTGTTTCTAGTCTAGTATTAATTGGGTAAAATATTAAACAAAATAAGAATTTTTAAATTAAAAGTAGCCTTGAAAATCTACTTTAATATATTATTAGGTTTACAAATTAATTTTCATCGTTAGTGAAAAACGAGCTTTCCTGAGACCATCTACAATCATCTACAAATGGAAAAAAGTTTTCTTTCCTTTCCTTTCCTTTCCAAGTGCATAAAATTCAATTTGCACTAATATTATGTAAAGTATATAAAGAATAATAAGAAATAATCTCCAAAAGTATTTAACCTATTTAAAAAAAATCTTGTATCTAGAATGAATCTTCAGGGACGTAGGCTGTAAATAATTCCGTCAAAGTACAAGAGCTTTACTTGGAGACCAATTTTGAAACATAAATCAACAATACAAACGAAAATAAATCGCGATTAGCGATTATCTAGGAACTAAAATTTATACTAGTAGAGTATAAAAAAATAGAAATTAATACTTAAGTCTAAAAACTTTACATTTTCACTCACCATCAACAAGCAAAAATTTATATTGGGCATATCAGCAACATAGTCAAAATATCCCGTAAGTAAATACAAATGTGCAAACTTGCTCATCGTGTCAATCAACATCCCATCATTTTCCTCAATAGTTGTCGTCACGAATAAACTGACAGTTTGATAAAATGGCATACAACCAAAGACATCGAAAATGAAACCTCGACTCAAGTAATGTGGTATAGTTTTTCTCATACTCGTTATTAGTAAACCTCGTTGATCGTAAAAGCCCATCTGTAATTTATTTCATCAATGCCATTTATTTTTACGAAATATTCTAGGACAACCTAACAAAAACAAATGAAAAATAATATTTAAAAAGTAATACATAACGCAATAGTATTTTTTTTAGTTCCTTTTTGAACATATAGGTATTCATATATTTTTAAATTTAAATGTAGAGAGGAATATATGAGAAAAGTGCACTAACAAATAATTTAATAATTATATCGACGAGGGCAATAAAGTCGCATATATTTTCGATCACCATAAAGAACCTCCTATAAGTAGCTCCACTTCCACCTACAGAAAAAAATAAGTAAAACAATATACTTGAAAATCTAAATAACTCGTAAATAATTATATAAGCTATTCACACATGACATACAAATCAAAGCGAAACAACGATGAATCGTCAATAAATAAATTAAGATAACCCTATGAGTGATTCAAACTTGAAAAGATCCAGTATCTACATACATCTACAGTACTATAAAGCACTCAGAAAAGGACAAGATATCGAAATCAAGATCAATAAGGTAAAGTACTACATTTATAGCAATTTTAGATAATATACGTAAATGTAAAAAATCATATTGTAAATATTCTCCATTATTAGGTGAAAGTATTTGACAATAGAATAATACCTTGTATTGCTGTTGTTGATATTGATATTGCGACTAAAATTGCTCGAGCCAACATCCAATACTGGACGAAACTGATACAAAGATACGTTTCAAATTATGTATAATGAATAGAATAATTACTTATGAATTGCAAAGTATTTTATATAATTTCAAATGTGTATACTGTATACTATATAGTATTATGTTGTACTCCTAAACGATGTCGGCTTTGTCGGCTTATCTCACTGAGACTAGCTATCTGCATAGGAGATTGTTGTACAGACATTGCGCAGCATCTACTCTTTTTACTTTAAAAGTCGATGACGGTAACGAAAATCCAACAGAACTGGTGAGAGATCAGGCGCTTTACGTGCTCTCCGAGGCATGGAGGTGAACCATCGCCAACTTCCCAACTCTTGGCTATTACTGAGATTTTTTTAACAGAAAAACCCAATAACTATTGATGCCGATCTGAGATTTGAACCCAAGATCTCCGAATTTGCGTCCGTATGCTTGCATTTAATGATAACATTATACCGATAAAATATACATTATAATAATAAAATCAAGTAATGGCATCATGAACCAAAAATATCACTTTAATTATTAAATTTTCTTAGAATCTTACCGCGAGGCTGGATCTAGCCGAGCATAGCCAGTAACCGATGTCTGTTTGTCTGTAGACTTATCTTGTTGGCTTTCATCAGTCACATTATTCGTAGCATCTATGAATGGTCTACCAGATTTTTGGGCATGAAAGATATGCTGACGTAATATTTTCTGATACTGTTAATTTTAAATGCATTATTGCATACATTTTAATATAAATAAAAACATTAAATTCATATTACAACTAACCACATTTCCTGGCCATGTAAATGATAGTCAGAAAATGTGAAGAGCATTGAAATACCTACGAGTATGTACTCGTATATTTGACTTAAATCACTAATACAATAATTTAGCACAAATAGATTGCGTGAAGATTAAAACTAGTAAATAAAGCCAATATTTACGACTTTTCGTACTTATTTACTACTTTTAGCCTGCGACTTTGGCTTCGTGCTAATTTCCGTTTAATTTAAAGGCCCAACGCCCCAAATAAAATGGAGCACGCGGTGTGTCTTTGGATTTATTCGAACAATAGAAATTCTTCAATCGCGCGGTAATATACAGACAAACAGTTTTTTTTAATACATTATTATTTAAGCTTTATATTGCATGGAATTGGCAAGGATATAACGTAATATACCCACAATAAATACAAACTATATGGAGACAAATGGAATATCCGGTACTTTTTGAAGTCGGTCAAAAGGTTTGGGTTAATTTGTCAACTTACTTGCACTAACCAAGAAACATTCTTACTAAGAAACCCAAAGAGAATATTGACACCAAAATTAAGTTTGACACAGACGCACAAGTACACACACACACACACACGCACGCATGCACGCGCACGCATGCACTCTCACACAGCAAAGCTTAAATAAAATAAAATTACATTTCTATACTTGTTCACGTAATCTTTTACTAAAGCATCAACAGCTGGAGAAAACTCGTACACACAATTTTGTATATGATCCCATTCGTAGGGGTAACTTTTGACAATATTGTTGAAGTCGTTAAGTTTAATGTATAAAATCTGAAAAAATAATTATTATTGTATCATATTATATTTATACCTTATGTATTAGCTAGTACATAATATACGATACTAAAATATACCTCTAACTTCACATCATTTGTTGGCAACAAACTACTTCCTATACTTATTAGCATTATTTTAAGAAATAGCTTATCGAATATTTATTCGATCGAATATATTATGATTCGTAAAATAAAGTAGTTTACCAGTCAGATTTTACAAATATTTTTTGCATTGTATAGGCTATTTACTAAAGAATATTATATGCTTTCTAAAACCACGCTATGAACCAAGAGCTGAGCAATCATATATAAATAAACTACATGTGCAATGATATGGACAAAAGCTAGTAAATTATATAAATACATATGTATGTATGTATATTGTATAACAGAATACCTCGCATTCAGTATACGCTATGAGGGTTCGAAGTGATGCTGTTTTAAAGAACACTCCAAAAGACGTGAGCAATTCACCAGGATTGTAAGTTTTTCTGATTAATTCCCCTTTTTCATTTGGATATTCACAAGACACTGAACCCTAAATTGTAGGTATACAAATAATTACAGTCTTAGTAAATTTATAATAAGTAGAATACTAAATTCTACAATTTTGCCTAAACTAAATGTACATTATACAGTTTGGAAAAGAAAGAGTATGATTATTTTCTAATATACACATGTTTTGAGAAAGGTGTTTGCTCTGCTCAAATCAAAAATTGTTCCTAAAAATTAAAAAAAAATATTGATTACTGTTAACTAAACATAATGAGGAAAATTTGTCAACTTACTTGCACTAACCAAGAAACATTCTTACTAAGAAACCCAAAGAGAATAATTGTCGAATTTTTTGGCAATAATAAAAACTTTCCCTTGTATGCCAACTCCCTTATTAATGCAGGATCTGCAGACACAAACGCCTTGGAATCTTTTATTACTCTTTCAGCAACTCCACCATGAATTTTCCAATAGATATCATATGGCTCGTGTTTTAATAAATTGGGATGCATCACGTCCATCCCATGAAAATATCTCCAATGACAAATTAAGTATCTGTTTAAACGTTTCAGCAAATCCGGATGAATATTGTGGTGTGTATAATGATTTTTGATGTTTGAAACAAAGTATTGGTAGTTACATATATCTCGATACCTCAAATATAGACAAGCGACTAATTTGGTTTTACAATAAACGTAAATTATGAAAACAATGTAGCTTGTCAGAATTCCCACGTATATATCCATCAATGTACGCGGGAGATACTCGAAGAAGATGTACTCTAACGACCACGCCAACATAACAAATATTGGGTGATTACCCTCAAAATTACATGTATCATCTGTTTCATTTTTATTACAAAACACCTCGCCAAAAAAATATGTTGTAGTCAATTTAGGTTCGCTTTGATCAACCATAAAGAGAAAATAGCTGATAATATAGACGAAAGAAAAATGTATTAACCCAATTTTATAGCAAACATCATATAACGGATCTTTATGAATTTCCCACTTTGTGAAAAGCACGTAAATTTTAATTAAACGGTTGAACTGGCATGCGGCGTAATATTTTGGAACACCAGTGATTAATGCTAAATTCTCAAGCCAAACTGTAGAAAGTACATCCAAAACGAATTTCATACTTTTGCAACGAGTGAACATAACTGCAGTGAAATTATCTGTAACATTTTCATCACTCACAACCGACGTGAGAAGAGCAACGCATATATCCAATATATAAACCAAGTCTGCCCAAAATTGGAAAAATATAAACCACTTCGGCTTTTCATGCCTTGTTATATATGGAGGATATAGCACCAATACGCAAAATACTGTAGCAAAGACAATATTACTCCAAATTCTCCCAAATATCGAATTTGGTACAAATATCCAGGGAAATTTTACGTTAGCAAACATTGATTTCATTTGTAACTGAACGTCGCTGCAAAGAACTAATTGACCAATATATTTGGCACAATGATATGCCGTTTCTTCTGCTGGCAATTTACATTTTTCAGGCTCCTTTTTACATGACAGCTTTTTCCATTTAGACACTGCTTCAGAAATTTCCCACCAACGCTTTTTAATCCATGCAATACCTATAATAAAATTATTTTATATGTTAAAGCAATTTGTGTTTTGCAAACATGTGTAGATACTTGAATAACATATCTTTCCGTAAGTGAATGAGTGAAAGATAACCTTTAATCAAATTTTATATTAAAACATAAGATTAGACTTAATTTTAAGTGCATAGTCAATTAAAGAAATGATATACCTTCATCTTCAGTTCTGTCTAAACCTCGAACAAGCTGCTTACACGAGTACAAAGTACGAGCATGTTTAATTCTATCCTTAGCCTGTTGGATGATCATACGACGATCTTCTGGGTATTTGTGAATAGTATTCAATATATCCACACGTGATATATACAACACTTCGCAGTATGTGAGACATTGTGCAGTCACTTTTCTTTTAAAAGGTATAAAGAAGCTGATATCTCCAAAAATCGTGCCGCTTGATACAGAAATTAAAGGTGTGGATCCATCATCTGAAGAAATCAGTTGAACGATCCCAGATTTGACATAATGCAAATGCGACTGGCAGTGTGGTCCACCAAAAAACTTTTCTCCTGGCAATTTATAATCTATACGAATATATTCACATAGCGCACGCTTGAAAGGTGCAGATGCTTTTCTAAACGTTGGACTGTGATAAAACACCGGCCATACTAAATCCTGTTTAATATCAATTCTTAAATATCTCGGCAGTTCCGATATAACTTCTGGAATCCAGGTAATACCGTTACGCTTTTTCCATATAACCGCATAAAACTCTTTGATTTCTAGATACGTCGTTGAGTTCGGGTTTCGCCTTTGTGCTTCCTCAATCAATCTATGAACTTGAGGATAATATGTACATATTCTCCTTAATTTCAATAAAGCTTCAGCTACCATTTTAGGAAACACGACAAACGTTAACAATAGATTTCCAGCGATCATTAAAACGCTAATTATAACAAGTTCTGCTAATGTTGCGGGTTTTATTTCATCGAACTGCTGATTAACAATGTATGATATTACGATACTTGTTCCATACACGTACGTACTATAATTGGGATCAGTTTCATTTAACTAAAAAAAATAATAAATAAATTAAAGATTATTTTATTTACAAAATAAAAAAATCGGTCAAGTGCGATTCGAATTCGCAAACGAAGGGTTCCGTACCATCGAGCATGTACTTTTTATTAGACTTCCCGAAGTAACCGAGGGTTGCCAACTGAACCCTATTACTATTATAACAAATATATTGCCGCTATAGTAACAAATAATAAACAAATAAGATGGCGAATATCAAAAAGCCTGCTATGCACATTAAAAATAACCATTATGGTACGGTACCCTCCGTGTGAGAGTCCGACTCGCACTTGATCGATTTTAATATGACTTTTACTCTATGTGTGTACTATATTAACTTCGATGATCGATTACGAACTTTAAAAATATGTTTCTTGTATTTTTATTAATTTTTATCATTTGTTGTTACAGCGGCAATAGAAATACACACTCTGTGAAAATTTCAACTCTCTACCTATTACAGTTCATGAGATACCGCCCTCTGACAGACGGACGAACTGACAGCAGATTCTTAGTAATAGGGTTCCGTTGGCACCCTTCTGGTATGGAACCCTAAAAATAAATCTTCAAAACGATAATTTCAATAAATAATATTAGAGTTTAATGTATAATACATTCGTAGATTAATGCGAAGTAGTAGATGTAGTTTGATTTGTAATCAAAAAGAAGAAAAAATAGTCTTACTTTATGCCTGACATAAATGCGCCAATCATACCAATTATTCCTACAATTTGCGCATAGACCATATGCAGTGAGCAAAAGCCAGAAACAGGTGATACAATTTACACTAATCATCAACATCGTAGTAAAACCACAGACAATCCAAATAAATTTATGTGTAGTTATCAAAGAGAAGTATTCTGCCACTCTGTAAATGCTGGAAGAAGGACATATTATATTATTTTAAATTATTAGCTTTTCCTCTCGTTGGAGACGACGTAGCACTGTCGTAGCTAGCGGTAGCTTTATTAAATACATATGTATGTAAGTACTCGTATTATAAAATGTATCTATTAAGAATCTTGTGGTTCTAGAAATAAGCCTGTTCAAATAAACAGAAAATAAACAATTCTTATTATCTAATATTATTACACTTTTTGAACTTTTTGGTATCGACTTATACATATTATATGTATGTATGTATGCATCTACATGAAATAGCTAGTAATGCAAAAAGGCAAAACCTGTTGTATTAGATGTACATACACATTTACCTATAATTCAATAGCCATTAAATTGTGTACATATACATATTTAGTTATAAATAAAAACAAATATTTTCTTAAAACACTAGTTTTTTTTTTATTTAAGTAGAAAATTCATGCTCTATACAATATACATAGAACGGTTGAACATTCAGCTTACACAGTTCATACATATGTACATAGTTTGCTGTCAAATTTATGAGGATCCGTAAATTTTTAATTTGTTTTTCTTCTTCAAACCGAGGTTCGAAAGTTTTTATGTTTTATTCAGCCTAGGCTTACTTTACTTTTACTATTAAAATACTCATATAGTAAGAACTAACTTTTACCCGTACCTGCATATCTTATAATATTAAATTAGCAATTCTTTTATATAAAATTTCGTGTACCTACCTCGTAAACGGCTCTAACGATTTGGATCAAATTTTGTATTCTGCTTTTCCAAAATATGCTGAGCGAAGCTCGGTCGGTCGGTTGGTACTTTAATAATTTATAGGTTATATTTCTCAAGGCGCAGGAACTAGATTTTAGATTAACATATATTCAATTCGTCTGAATTCTTTTACACCTCAAGGGCGTTCCCATACAAATTTAATAATAAATATTTTAAGTGATTTTGAAGTCGATTTACCTTTTATTTAGATATATTTCATAGAACCACTAACACATTTAATATTATTATAAATAAATGCATAGAATATGTATGTTAGGTATAAAGTTTGCCTTTTCTGTTTAGTTTCTTTTTCGGTAAACTGATCATATAATAGTATTAATCTAACTTACATTACAATCTCGCTAAAGGCAAGTAGATTCGGCCACAAATTAGTAGGAGGACACACGTCTTCAGACACGATTCGATAGAAAGGAATTAGCGATACAATGTCAAGCATTAGCAAGAATGCGGACTTTGGTAGGAACTCACGCCTCATGGCTTCGTCGGTAACTTGTCTGAAATAAAACATTTCCGTTTTATTCTGTGCCAACTTATCTAAGGTAAATTGTGAATAAAAAAATGTTGCTATTTATACTAATATTATAATGAGACAGAATTTGTTTGTTTGAACGCGCTAATCTCAGGAACTACTAATCCGATTTGAAAAATTCTTTTTGTATTAGATAGCCCGTTGGTTAAAGAAGGCTATAGGCTATATATCATCATGATACTACACAAGGGAGCGGAGCAGTAATCAAAAATGTCAACAAATCGGGCAGACTGCCATACATTTTTGTACAACTGATGTTTATATCGGAAGTTTATATCGTTCACATGTTAACCTTCATATAGTTAATGTATATTTTGGTATATTAAATAAATAAAAATAGTGCACCGATGAATGTTACCTATGAAGCATATGAAGAAACGTATCGATTCCATATATAGGGTCGCAGCAGTATAAATATAAAAACTTCATGAAAGCCCATTCAGGCACGTCCATCACGTCCCAACAATACACTATAGGAAAAACGGACTGAATAGGTCCCTGAGAATTAATAACTAATTAGTACTAATAAAATCAACACCGATATATTTTAATAAGGAAGAGGTCGCAGATTCATTTTACTCACCCTAAAAAAGCACGGAAGTACAAAAAAATATTCGAGTTCATTGATTAGCTTTTTTTTCATAGTCATACATATACACTAGCGACTCACCCTCGCTTCGCTCGGGTTCGCTCCTATTTACGTATTAACGTTTAGTATCGATTTCTCAGAGATGAGATATTTTCTCGCTGTAAAAAGTATCCTATATGTTGACCCGGATAACCAGCTATCATCATACCAAATTTCATCAAAATCCCTCCAGTGGTTTTCCCGTGTTGCGGTAAAAGACATACAGACCGACAGACAGACAGACAAAAATTCTAAGAACAGATTCGGCCTCTGTATCGATAATAATTTCTATTCCAATAAGATTTTCCAAAAAATATTTAATGCACAGATTCGGCTTAGTTACAATTTTATTATATGTAAAGATTTATTATCTGACATAAAAAAAATACATTTGGTAGTTTAAAATATAATGTTTGATGTTGCTTTAGATACTACTTCGTTCACTGAAAAATGTAGCAGTATTCTACTAAGCCCCGTGATACGGTAAGTTAACACATTTAAATTTATGAGATAGTTCCCACAGTTAAAAATATAGCGGCAAATAATCTAGCAGATTGCAAGAATAATAATATGACGGTGCGAAACAAAGAGAACGAGGATAAACTCGTTTAAGTAATTTAACCTTTAGGGGTTTGAGCATAAAATATTTGTTTCAAGTTATTTTTTTTTACGTCTTTTTATTATGTCTTATACATAAGTTATAATTATGATGTTCGTGTTCGATTCTTCTAAACAGTGCTATTTATTAAAGGTCTCATAAAAATGAACTGTTTCAAGTAGTAAAATGAAAAGCGCAATAGTTAATCAACAAATTATACTACGGAAACCACGTGATGTACGTATTATGTGTTTCATAATGCCTCGGTGGTCTAGTGGCTAGTATATACAGCCGTAGATCCGAAGGTCTTTGGTTCGAGTCTCGGGTCGAGCCAAGTTCGATTGTTATTGAGATTTTCTGTTAACACGCGTGGTTGAGAAATAAATATTCAAACATCGTCACAAACTTTCACATCTATTAGTATGATGAATGCAAAATTATCACAAAATATATTTAAAAAAAACTTACGAGAAGTGTTTTGATGACGACCATAACCAGGACAAGACTTTTGAAGATCGGATTGAAAGGTAAAAAGAGTAAATTGCTCCATCGTATAAAGGTCTCTTCAGTATCATCAAAATCTTCTTCATCTAATTTTACTTCATTTTTATCGTTTATCATTATTTCTATTACATAACACTTTCGCAAGTGACATATTATGATTTTAAACAGAAGAATAATGGAATTGAATGCATAATGCGACCTCTTTGATCAAGCGCTTGTTGTAATATAATAATACTAGCGACTCACAATTGTTCCGCTCGGGTTCGTTCCTAATTAAATTTTAACGTTTAGTATAGATTTCTCGGAGATGAGATAAAAAGTATCATATATGTTGACCCGAAAAATCAGGACGCGGTTACCGACAGACGAACAGACAAAAATTCTAAAAACTATAGATTCGGCCCCTAAACTAAAAATTCTAATAACTATATATTATATGTATAGAATATGTAAATTGTAGATATAGCTGTTTTTAATTATTCTCTCCATAGATGTTATCAGATAAATGTAAACAGTTTTAATTTACAAATTTTAATTTGCAATCAAACAATTAATTTGAATATCCAAAAATAACAACTGTTTGTTTATAGTTTTCACTTCTGTCGGCAGTCCTCATGACTGTTATTTTTTTAATAATTTAAGTACCAGAATCAGTAATTTATTTGTCAATATATTTTCAGAGCTAACAGTTTCAGTCCAAACTAATTAGAACTTGCCGTCATTTAATTATGTACTTAAACAGATAATACCGTGCAGTATCAAATTGTACCAGAAAATAAATAATACTTTCTTAGATTTTCGCGAATATTTGACGTTCTAAAAAAAGTCTCTTTTCGGATTATTTCGCGGATTTATTCTGATTTTTGGTTCCCGACGTTTCGAATGCTTTACAGCTATCATGATCACGGGAGAGACTAGGTTTTAGACATCTCAAAGGCATTATATTACTTGTTACAGACAGTTCGTACCCACAATTTTACAAAATGACCTTATAATATTAATTGATTTTAATTCTAAACATTTTAAACCTTTTAATAAGTACTATAATTTAATATGGCAATATTATTTATTTAATTTTAGCTGTTATTATTATAATTATTAACCGACTTCCAAAAACGAGGAGGTTCTCAATTCGTCGGAATCTTTTTTTATGTATGTTCACCGATTACTCGAAGACGCCAGAACCGATTTGGAAAATTTTTGTTTTGTTTGAAAGGGTGTATTTCCCAAGTAGTCCCATATAAATTTTATCGAAATCGAACGAACGGTTTTAAAAAAAATCAGCAATAAATATTTTTTCTAAACAAATTGCTTAACCGAATATATTATTAAAAACTTTCTTCCTACAAATTACTTGCTTATTACGTTTGAAAATATTGTCCGCTGGCACCGACTTCGAAAATATCTGATTAAGTATATATTCTAAATGAAAACCCCCGTTTAGTTATTTTTTACATTTTAGTGCCTGGAAGTCGGTTTTTTTTAAGTATTTATTACAAATAATATTATTTAGTGTTGCTATTATTATAATATGTATAGCCGCAAAGAAAATTAAAAATATCAAATATTTATTTAAGCATTATGGACAATAGCAGTAGTGAAAAGTTAAAAATAAAAAGAAAATAACGCGAGGACGTCACTCAACGCGGAAGAGCTATGTATATTTAACTTTCAGAGATCGATAAAAATGTAGCTCTATATGTACTCGTATGTTACTTCTAAGAAGTAACGTTTCAAGGAAGCTTTTAACAACCTAAAAAAATAATTATGATAATGAAAAATAAAGTATATTAAATAAATAAAATTTAAATGTAAACTATAATAGATCTTCATATACATATCTTTAACTAATCTTAAATAAATAAAAATAAATTTGGCATTTTTAGATATCTTCAAAATCACGGGAGCAAGAAAAACAATGGAATTGCTTCCCAATACAAAATTTCATCCCCATTTTTACGCCGTTAAGGGATGATTTCCGGGATAAAAAATGTCCTATGTCCTTCTGAGGGCCTCGAATTATCTTCTTACCACATTTCATCTAAATCGGTTCAGTAGAACCAGAGATTACCCCGTACAACGTCACAAACTCACAAACTTTACCTGTTCATAATATTAGTATAGATAAGTATTCGGGATAGTATCGAATAACAAAGCGTTAGTCCAAAACCTATAATACGTATGTAAACATTACCAACTTGAAAATTATTGAACAACTAATTTATGCCTCTAGCCATAATTTATAGCGAATCACTTAAATTTAATAATAATAATCTGCCCTGTCACATGAAATAATACTGATTAATCTATGCAAATAGCCTGCGCTTGTTAAACCCAATAATGAAAACTGTCACTATTTCAAATAGTTATGGGATTTTATCATACTCATATATCATACTTGTAATATTATAAATACGAGTACAAAACACTTTGTGTTGGACTCCTATTCATGCTATTTTTTTTATTGACGCTATACAATCTAAAACTAGAACGTTTTTTTTTGTTTTCGCTGGGGAAACCCATCATGGGGACCCTGCCGGCCGTCATAACGGGTAAGGTACTTTAAGACTCCTACTCACTAAAACCCACAGCGGAACCCATCGCCGCAGTGCAATGGGGCGTTGCAGGATCGCTTGCGCACACACTACAAGATCTAAAACTAGAACCTATGCAATACATCCTTACTATAATAAAGTTATAATAAGGTTTCTGTCTAACTTTCCGACTCGGAGTTAATACTGATTTAATTGATAAAAAATCGAATATAGTAGCAGCTGAAGTATAGCACTACGGTCACTACCAATTTTTTTCAACAATCTTCCGGTTTGTTAATGATTTTTTTTTATAGAAACCCCCAATTTGTCATTGTGATCTAACCCGAGATTCAAACCCAAAACCCAAAATTAATTTTAAGAATAATTTATTTCCACCTAATGAATGCAAAACATGCATTGTATTGTACAAAACGCGGTGGGATCGGCAATGTCGGACAACCGCCTGATTTATTGTTTTAGAGCTACATTCAAAGTTCGTATATTGTGTGCGGCTTATTCAGATCAGCTAAAAGAGATTCAACAGCTATCGTATATACAGATAACACATAAATATTTCATTGTTTGTTTTATTCTATATTTTTCAGTAGGTAAATATAATATTAGGAAATTTTAGATTTCTTTTTTAATATAAACATACTAGTGTTCGTCCAGTGATCGAAACTCGATCCTAATCATTATTGAAATATAGGTTATAGCCTAAAAAAAGAAAGTCAGTTAACAAAGTAGAAAAAGGTCCTGAATGTTTTATCTTTGGCTATTTATATAGAGCCTCATATTTGCCTTTTTTAATCCCTCAACGACCGCGGAAACGTCGGCGTTACAGTTAACAAAAGATTTCTTAGAAATTTAATTAATTTCTTAGAAATTTACCTGGATTTGTTAATTGGGACCCTAATTATTTTTCTAAAATAAAAGTAGCCTAAACTACTCCTTAGAATATCAGCTATCTGCCAGTGATAATTCTGTCAAAATCAGTCCAACCGTTTCGGAGATTAATCGGAAGAAACAGACAGACAGGCAAACAGACTAACAGAAAAATATAAAAAATGTCTTTTTCTTATATTTACCGTATATAATTTCATATGCATTTAGTAAAATTCTGTTATTTTGACATTACAAACAGACACTTCAATTGTATTTATCTGTACCTATAGGTTACTATTGTATATAATAGTATGCACAAAATATTATACCTACTGAAATGTTAAAAAAATATAACACTAACGGTAGCATTCATCACTTAAACTCTGATTTCGAGTAAAATTTTTAGTAATAAAAAGTTTAAATACAAAATCTTTGAGCTTAGTGTTAAATTAAGTTCCACAAAACCTCTTTGAGGTGCTACCTAACTTAGATTGACTTCTTTGAAATGTCCAGGGAACTTTTGAATTAATTTAACAGCTATACCTACTATATTCTAATGACGGTATTGTGATGATCATTAGCGAATTGAAATACAAAGCTATACTAATACTTATATATTATGATATTTTTTTCTAGTAATAATATATTAGTACATATAGTCTTGAAAACAAACTACCAAAGATGAAATCACAATTTCATATCTTTAGCTTCAGATTATAATATGTAGATTTTAATAAACACATACGTATACAATCTATTAGGAAAACATCTAATTTTGGCTTCTTTGATCTATCTATACATATAATAAAATTGTAACTAAGCAGAATCAGTACCTACATTAAATATTATTTGGATATCTTATTAAAATAGACATTATTATCGATACAGAGGCCGAATCATCTTTTTTTTTTAATTTTTGTCTGTATGTCTGTCTGGAACGCATCACGAGAAAACCACTGGACATATTTTTATGGCATGATGATAGCTAGCTATCTGGGTCAACATTAAGATACTTTTTACTGAGTAGACTAAACGTTAAAATGTAACTAAGGACAAATCCGAGCTCAACTAGGGTGAGTCGCTAGTAATTCATAATACTGTTTAGTGAATATATTACATACCAATTTCGATTGTCATAAATTATTGTCGCTTAGGTGTTTATCATTTAACTTCTAGAAATTACCAAACATCTAAAACGTTTTAAATTTTCTCCAATTAGTTTTATGTCAATTGTAAGGCAGAAACTTATACAAATATTTTTAATTTTAAAAACATAAGAATGCGTTTGCTAGATTTTTTACGCCGCAATTTTATGTAATTTTTCGCATGGAGTGTATGGAATAGCTTTTTGCTATGTATTACTTAGTTTACATTGAAAAAAATTAACTGAGGTAAAATTTTTAGAATTCAAGCCATAATTACTTACTCCACGAAAAATTTCATTTTTATGCAACGTACTAAAACAAAGGATTATACCTTAAAACATCAGTGAATTTTTAGTTAATCTTGTACCTCTTCTATAACATTACGATCCCTACGTTGTAATTTAAAAGCTCGCGCAAACCTTTTAGGCAGACGTTTTTACCACGTAAATTAACATTTTCCTTTCAACCACTAAACTAAATAGTTATCGTAGCATGATAAGGTAAAGGTCGTGTATTCAAATTCTTGTAAAAGCTACATTTATTGTTAATCTAC